AAATATTCCAGGTTCTTCCATTCCGAAGGGATGACTGGCATGATCACATCCTCCAACAATACTAAACCCTAATGGATTGTTACCTTTCTTTAATATCACTTCCTGTAGGGATAAAATGAGTGATAATTAATAATAATGATGATGCTTTATCAAATCTTGCTGAAAAACGTCGGCTGTTGCCTTATGACGTCATACRATGTTCGGCGAGGTGCACTATGGGATTGATTCAAGTACAAACTGAAGCCTTGTTGTTCTGTATCGAGCTGTTTGCGAACAAGAAGCTGTGACTGTTCTGCGARTATATGAAGCTATTTCCTTATATAAAATAATCTTCTAAGTTATTCGTTACGACCGGTAACCGGTTAATTTCGCCTTGAAATTTCGACCTCCGTTGTTATTAYAAAACATCCGCCATCTTGAWACATTTATCAATACCATGATGCACTTCGAGATAACAAGCATGACGTCACAAGGACGATACTCACGACTATATCCAATACAGGTTTGCCGTCCTCGAGATCCAAGTCTTGTCCATTCTCTAGATGATTTTCAACGCCTTCATTCTTGATTAATAGTTTCTTATTAACAGTCGACTGGTCTTGTAGTTTGGATACTGGAGTCATCCTCTTATTAACGACCTTCTCTCGATAAACGATTAGCGTGACGTAGGATAGACCTCCCGTTAACATGGCAACGGCGTCCTCGTGACGACAGCTCCTCATATCCTTGCTGTTTATCTGGAAGGAAACGATAATTGTGATGGGCTTCCTGTGCTATGTCAAAACGACGGCCCCGCGAGGAGGCAGAGGGACCGTAGATAACTCGAAGACACTTTATCTCCGATTTTGGGCCGATAGCTTACCGATAATATTTTATCCCCGACTTTAAGCCGACCATCCCTTTCTGCGATACCTTCTTCAGCGAGCTTCGATATAAAAATACCCTGAAAAACRCCAACATAMCGTTAATACCTTYATYAAAATCACTAGTGTCTTTTCCATTATCAATGTTATCATTACTTACCGGGTCGCCATCTTTGTACGGCGTCGATCCACGCCCACCAGCAATACTAAAACCCAGTCCTTTATCTCCTCCTCGCCTTAGCGTGACAGTCACGCGCTGTAACACAACAGATAATTAATTTGCTTTTTATGTGCTCAACACTTTGAAAAAGAAGAACGGAGAAAAAAAAAAATAGAGGAAAAAGGTTCCTCTCCAGGGTGGGGTGCGGCGTTGCACCCTTCTCCTGGATGCGATCTTGTCAACTTTGTCCATATGGCAAATAGGATGGTGTTTTTTTACCTCAGGTTTTGTTTCGATCTCTTCCATTTCTGGTTCTGGCGCGAATCGTACACCAACTCTCTTGYTGTCCTCTTTTGGAGTCTCGTCAACCTTTGGTTTGCAAAACAAAAAATTATTTGGGGAAGTTTTGTGGAACTGATTACATGACAACTGCAGTTTATAACCTTCAAAAATTCAAAGCATTAATTACCTCATTTGGCATGGATTCCAGCTCGGATGCTTCATGAAGTCCATTCTCGTGTACCGGTGCTTCGATAGTTTCTTGTACTTTCTCTGGAGTCTTCTTTGGGACGGGTTTCTTGACAATTTCTTCTCGTTCACGAACAACAAACAGCGTTATATCTTTGCCAGTTGACTTGAGTACATTAACCGCCTCGTGGTGTGTTGCGCTACTTATGTCTGTGCCATTCACCTACRAACAACGGGTAGGGTTAGTCAATATAATGCCCTGCGGTTAAAACAGTCGTTCTCTCTATCGGACTGAGTGTTTCTCACCTTTAATATTTTATCTCCGACCCGTAAAATGTTGTCCTTGCCCGCTGGCCCATTTTCAGAGATTTTTGAAATGAATATAGCCTATATACAGAAACACTTATCAATCTACGCATGCTCACAAGAATTAGATTCGATCATTATCCCACATGGATGAGTGGTTTACCTCATCGTTCTCCTTATAAGGAGTCGATCCCTTTCCTCCTGCGATATTAATACCAAGGCCTTTGGTATCCCTGTGTAATGTGTACTCAATCTGTTGGACACAATGCAATCAAATGTCATTTTTCGTCGAAGCAAATACGGAGGAATTCGTTTTTAAATCTAAAAGTGTGACGGTGGAATAAAAACTTCTTGTTAATGTGCAGTAGTAAGATTCTATTAAAAGAGATTATCCTGGTTTTCRAAGGACTGTTTCAAAGTCCAATGAAAATCGCCCATGTCTACCCGWCCCCAGTCCCCTAGTGCCAGTCTACCTCTTCTACGACTTTAGTTACTGTGACCATYTGCTGTTCAACGTCTTCATTAGTATCGTYATTSTCAAACTGTAGCTTTCGCTTTAGCTTTGGACCCTCTGAATAMACAAGAACAACATCAATAAGCGACGCCATTTTGTACAATATCATCACTATCATTTACTRATATATAATCATCACCATCATYGCTCTTAGCAAATATTATCGATGAGATCTCTGCCTTKWSYA